ATTGAGAATAGAATTAATGAAACATATAAGAATTTTGAATTGATTTTTTGTACACCTAATCAATCTCAAATTGGTGTGCCTTTTTACTTAAAATTATGGTTTTGGATTTTTTTTTCTCCTAATTTTGATCTTGAATGTTGGCACTTAAATTGCAACACCCCAGCAATAAACTTTAAAATAAATTTGAAAAGGACACTCCCAACTATTCTTTATGTTGATTATGGTTCATTATCACATAGCTAAATTTTGGTTGGTTCTCACCTCTCTTCTTGGAGCAAACATTACATCTTGTTTCTGGACGTAATTTACGTCTGGGGTCTGATGGTGGGGCGACAAGTGTCAAATGAGCCCACCGCATTAGACTAAGATTGGTCAGTGCTAAAATTTGTGAGGCTCATTTGACATGTGACGCCTTTCCCTAAGAAAGCAAGGCCCACAGCATCCGGCGGGCCTCACGGGAAGTGGGGCCCCATCACCCCAGTTATGGCCATAGCCCAGCCCCATTTACATTTCAGTGCACCCACTCCTGCGGGCCCACTTTATTTTCTTGGAACAAAAAATTATCCCTTTACACAATTTCATTATTTTTGGTAAAGTAAAACAAATAACTAAAATAATGTGAAAGAGTATAGATTTATATGGAAGGCCTCTAAGAGTGGTCATAATATTGAATATTCCTATTAGTTATAAGAGCTTAGCTCTATTTATACCTCTTTGTGATCTTCTTAATAATTTACATTCTAATAACAAAATATTTTCGTGTTACCCAATTCTTGAAAATAAAATAGGGATAATTGCATTCGTAGCACCCGAAACATTGATATTTGCAAAATCTAGCACCTGCCCTGCTGACATATTTACACGTGCCACGATCAAATCATTGAAAATTCGATAAAAATGAAAACTATGGATTGGGGGTATTATCGTGAATTTTGATATTTGAAAAATGAATGAAAATTTATCAACTAGAGAATTGTATGTAAACAGTTCTTTTGGTAGGGATTTGCATACGTGGCAAACAAATTTTATGTGTTTACATAATTTATACCTAAACTTTCGTATTTACATCTATAACACTCAAAACATTTAGTTCACAAGCAAATATAAATTTTCATGCACATGTTTATGACATCGAAGCACTATAAATATACATATCAAATATTTGGTGTTAGATATGTAAATACATAAGAATTGTATGTTATGTTTGTAAATTTGCCTTTTTTTTTTAAGAAATTTGCATGCATACCACATAATTGTTATGTATTTACATATCTAACAACTAAACTACTATATTTGCATGTAAATCACATAAGTTTTTAACATAGATCAAAATACCGCTATGACTATCATTTTAAAAACGAAACACATTTTCATGCATAGGCTTATACATCAAAGTGTTATAAGTGTAAATATTAAACTTTGGGTGTTAAACATACCGAATTAATATGTTTTGTCTTAATTCTGACATGTATATTCACGTAGGATCTATTTAATTAAGATTCATCAATCAGCTTAAGATGGCTAATCTTTCTTTTTACTTCCCTATTTTTCTCCAGTTATTTTTAGCAGCTTATATCAACTTATATTTCTAGCTAAAAAAACGACTTTTTTGAATTTGCGTCTCGACTTTTAGAAGCTCAAGCAAGCCAACTGAGGAATTGTGTGACAACGCTGATTTCAATAATTTGAAAATGCAGTTTTTTGAATAAGCTGCCAAAATGCAGTTTATCCAAACAGTTCTGAGTGCGTATTCAAAACACACCGCACCAAAGCTGCTCCGAACGGGCCCTTGATCTGTTGATTTCAATTTGACTTTTAACCAAAATATCATAATTTTAAAGAAACATTCATTACTTATTCATAGGCTTTCAATTCTTTCAAATCAGTCCATCCATGATTGAGTTATTATTCCTTTTCGGCTTGACAAGATGGTCAAGTGTTCTCCACCAATACAATGCAATAAAATATATAACTAAGTAGGTAGTTGTATGTGGATATAATTTTTTGCGTGAAGAAGTCATGCACATTACTTTTCAAAATATCAAGCCACTTAATTTAGGCAAAGCAAGGCTATGATTTCTCTCCATTTAGGTGTATGTATGGCCATTGCAATGAGATTTAATTGATTATTTGTATTAATGTCCTAAACATTTTAAGTTAGCAAATAAAATTAATAAAATAATAGCTTTTCATGTTCATGATAGTAGCCTATGTTTAAAAATAGCTTAATTTTTTGAAACTTTGAAAGTGACTAGCCTCTAAATGATAAGGATTTCTTAATTAAATTTTTTTTTTATAGATTTGACTTTTACACAAGGGCTTAAAATATTTTGTGGAAACTAACTAACTACTCAACAATGACTCAAAAATCTTAGATAAGGATAATTAAATATATTTTGTTAGATTTTTAATAATTTTATGGAAAAAAACATAAGATTATAGGGTGATTCATTAAGTTTAAAGAGGCCCACAAATCACTGTAAATGGCTACAAAAGTCTTTAAAATTTTTTAAGTTAGTTCTCTACAAAAACTAAGACTTAATTTTTTACGGTTTATTTAATTAATTAGTAATAAGACCTTCAATTAAATTTAAAAGTTTTTTAACTTAAAGATAAGTTGTTTAAGAATATGTATAACGAAAACTTAGTTTGGTTGTTTAAGAATTATTTTGACCGTGCTTGCTTGCTTGTCTTATATAACATTAATATATTATTTTGAATGGCTATTATATATTTCAATTATATACATTTTTCTTTTCTAATAGGTTTGTCTTTATGTACTTAGTTCATCTTAATGATGTGTCTATTTCCTATATAAATTTTATTAAAATCATTGTTCCAAATTTCTTAGTACAAACTATGATCATTAAAACCTAATGTTTTGGACTCATGGGATCAATGATCTCTCCTATTTTGATGATGAAAGGTATATATCATGAATTTAAAAATTATAAAGGGTTTTATGTAATATACTCTCCCCATAAGGATAAGCATCAAAATAAAGAAAAAAATAAAATATTTTTTCTTTCCATTATCATAGGCATGGCCTTTCATTTAGAAAATAAGATGGCAATGAAGAATTACAGGCATCATGCAAAATTGGTATAAGACCAAAACTGATCATCAATGTGATAACTTATTGCATAATAAAGAAGTTGTTTTTTTAATTTCTCTACTTTCTCATATAATTACATTTTAATCTTCCCCTTACAATAATATAGGTGGGTGGGATGCGGCTAATAAGTTAATAACTATCAATAGCTAGAACTAATACATACACATATCAAGCCAAGAAAAGAACAAAAAATAATGACTAACGAACTACATCCATCACTGTAAAGAAAAGTAATAGAGCAAATCATAGTAATAATAAACTTCTAACATTTAGCTCCATCATCATTATAATCATCTCCTTCTCCTTTAAAATCTAGTATGATATGTAGTGGAGAACTCAATTTATTAGGTTATTTATTTACCATCTCCACCATCCTTGAGCAATTCATTGCAAAATCCATGTGACATTTTCAATCCTTTCATAGAATTAGGTGTACAATGGGGCAAGAGGAACACCTAGTATTGCCATATTAAAAGAGATGCTAAAAGCTAAAAGGTTAAAAAGCATGTGTGCTTATCAATTAGATAGACACTTAGTTCACATTTAAGGTACTTGGAGAAATAATAAATTCAATCATGTAACCAATATGTAGATTATGAAACTACTAATTTCGTTAATTCCTCCAAAAATAGATTCATTTTTTTAAATTGATTATTTGAAGTAAATCAAGGAGGATAATTGGGCCTAGGATTAGAGAAATTGTTATTTTGACTGTTTTAATTACTTTTTTTGTTATGTTAGTTGCTAGGATAGATATTATTTATTGTTATTATTATTATTTCAATTGAAATTTGGGCTTTTTTTTCAAATTAGGATTATAAATACTAGCGTATAAATTATTGGATATATTATTTATTTGGTTTATTGACCTTACAATTAAAATGAAAGGATCACCTATTAGTTTATAAAAATTTGTCTCACTTATTGGTGCCCCCTAATTTAGATTCAAATATAGGTTGTATAATTTCCTTAAAATAGAAACTATCTGTGAAGTCAAAATAGCTAGCATATCAGTATAATAAATGCTAGCTAACTTCCTTAGGTAGATTCTTTGTGAACATAAGTAAAGATTATTAGTTACTAATCTCTTTTATGAATGAATAAACCTTTTCAAATAAATTACACATAAGTGGCTCCTCTATTGTAATAAATATATCATATCTCAAAGACCTCGCCGACTTGTTATAAAAAGTTTGAATAATAAATCAATAAGGTAGGGAGTTGTGTGGACATTTTCTCGAAAGATCTTTAAAAGTCAACTATGATTCATACATATATTCATTATCTAATTGAGTGAAGGAGATTATATCATTCAAAAGCTTGGTAGTTCATAAGCAGTTAAGTACTTTGCTAAAAGTTTTTAGGCTATATCATTTCAGTTGATAATAGATCTTAAAGCAAGTGAATTTAATAATATTTTTGCATTGTCTCTAATAAAATAAAAAACACACTTAGCTTAATATCATCCTCAGAGTCACCACTATACTTAGAATTTGCATAATTTTCTAAGAAACTTATAATGTGTATATTTGGGTCTTCAGTAAGTGAAATTTGAAATTGAGAATTCTAGATCATTTAGATAATAACTAGTTTATGCTTGAAATTATTCGCCTGAATAACAGTCTATTTATGCTCTAATGTCCCCCATCTACTAATGGATTCAAAGTGTCTCTAACTAGTCTAAGTTGGAAACTTTAAAATTTCAATTAATTTAACATTAGTTTTTTATAAAATTAGTTTATAATTCAAAATTTTTCATTATTTATGTTGTGCAATTACCTTCTTAATTATTATTATTATTTAGTTTGTTTGTGCAAAAATATTATGTAGTTGTTTTTGACTGAATTCTACAATTATTTATATATTTGATATATATTGAATTGCACCGCAACAACAATCATCAAGCACCACTCACCATTTCAATAACGCTGCTACATTACTACATTGATAGCACCACAACACAGTTCTTCTATTATTATTTTTATTCATTATTTATTTTAGGCAAGTTCTTATTTTATTGATTATTATTATTTATTTTCTTATCTTATCAATTTAAGCGAATATTAATAATGTTGGGTCATTAGTAGAGCCATAGTGATACTAGTCACAATTTTTTACTCTATGCATAAAACAACCCTATGGCCTTATGATAAATAAGCAGACTATATATAAAGCGCATCAATTTGTGAAATTAGTAATTTTTGTAGCCTTTGTTCAGACTTGAGTTAGCTTCTAATACACCTAGTTACCAAGTAAAACTTCCCCAACTCTTATCTCATATTTAATAAAGTGAAAGAATTCTAGACCGATTACTACACATAAGTACTTCTTAAACTGGAATAAGAAATAATACTAACCAATGAATGTCATAAGTCCATCTTGATATATAACACCTCAAAGAACTTAATAAAGAACAAGTAATATTTGCACATAATTGATATTAAGAAATGTGACTCTTCATGTAAGCAACATAGATGACAAGATTTGACTTTCCCCAATAATAATGACACCATGAGCTAAAGGTGTAGAAGAAAACTAACTTAACGAAATAAACAAATTATATAATAATAATAATAATAATAAATTGGCTACACATAATACAAATGAATTCTTTTATAAATAAGTGAATATTACATGCGGTATCTGCATGTACGAACTGATGGTATTATGATGATATTCATCACAATATCATCACAATAACACAAAATTCACACATTCATATCTATTCTCTATATACAAAATTATTTTCATAAAAGAGAGACTATAATAATGTGAATAAATGGCCATTATCCTTCCATACGATTACCTCGAGATCAACAACCCCATCCAACACAAAATCTACAGAGCTAGATAGCGTTGTTCTTCTGTACTTGGCTTGAGCTGTCTCTCTTGCCAGCTCCATACGCTGGAAATTGCAATTTACTATGTCGGCCTTCCATGGAACACAACAAAAACAGTAGTTCCACACGCGCCCCAAAATATTTGGAAAAGCCTCACTGTTTGAGTATTCAGGAAAACTAAGTAGAAGATTTACATACATGTCAATGATTAATTTGCTCTGTGTATTTGCATGTAGAGTACCGAAATTTTAATTTTTTACAAATATATCATCTTATTTATACATGGAAAACTATATTTTATTTTCTTAGAGCCAAAACAGTGGCATTTTTAATGTGATGTGAAAGATTTGATAATGTGAAGTGAACTTTAGATGTTAGGTATGTAAATAGATAAGCATTGGGTGGTATGTATGTAATGCCCATACATATCTAACACCTAAAACATCATTTTTTTTCATGCACGCCATCAACCCTATGGATGAAAAATGTTTATTTCAAGTTTTAAAAAATTAAAATGATAGTTTTTTTTATGTGATATAAAAATTTTTCGTGATGTAAATATAAAAAATTAAAGTATTCGTGCTAGATAAAGGTTGCAAAATTAGAGTTCCGACGTAGCTTTACATCAGGACTTCGGACGTAATATTTTTCCAATATGAGAGAGGCTAAGATAATAAAGTGTAAAATGATATTTTAAGAAGGCAAAAATGATATTTCAGAATGAACAAAATACTAAATTGCCCTCTCACATAATTAAAAACTTAAATTTGAAGGGAAGTGGGGGAAAAATTATTACGTACGTTCACCATACGCAGAAATGCGTGCGGTGAAACAATCAAAATACTCCCCATATCAAAATTATATGTCAGTGGACCCCAATTTAAATTTTTTTTTTAAAATTTCTTATTAGACAGTGGATTAGAAGTTGTGTCCGCTGTCCGCACAAAATAATGACTCGAAGTGATTGGGGTGGGGTTGTGGACCTAGTCCGTCTTACTCACGTGTATCTCTATCATTGGACTTATAACATGAAATATTTCCTCCACAAAAAAACACATTAATTTACAATTCATGAGACAAAAAGTCAAAATTGTTAAAAAAAAAAAAATATTTTTAGCTATATTTTAAAGAAAATTTTGCATATAGTCATACTTCTCAAATAATCTTTGATTAACTAAAATAAACACATAACTTACACGTGCTGCAGCGAATACGATATTAAAGGGAAAAAAATAAAAGAAAAAAAAAACATTAGAATTCATAATTTTAAGTGGAATATATGTGGCATCCATTGTCTATATTTCTATTTATTTAATATTTTGAATTATAATTAATTAATTATTTAGTGATTTTCTGCGGTTGACATGCGGCCTAATGTCAACGTTGGAAGTCTGTTATATCTCGTTAATTTTTTTTTTAGCAGCAGACTTTATCAAATATATATTTTCCATTTTTGTTTTTAATGTTTAGGAAGATTTGGGCGAGCTATGTCGATGTTATCAAACCTTGTATTTTGTCTTCATGGCTGTTATTATTATATTTTTCCATCATGTTAGTGCTGACTTTATTTCCAAATGTTAAGAGTTCGGTGGTCAACGCATAAAGGGTTTTACAGCTTCTAATCTGCTTTCGCCAGCTTGTGAATTGCAGATGAACAAACTAAAAAAAATTGGATGAATATTGGCAAGGGAAGCACCTTGTTTGAACGATCGGCAGAAGGAGCCAGGAGAAACTCCCGTAGGCCAGTAATTAGCATTCTGGATGATCGACGGGGAGCACTCTTACAGACCATATATCGATCGAATCGGTCCCCGGTCTTATTATATGTAAGTAACTCTACAATTACCAAAAGGCCCCTATGAAGTTAATAATGAGGAGGCTAATATGTATTTTTGTAATATTTGAATCTAGGCATATAAATAGAGGTCCATGTCATGAGTAAGCCACTCATTTTCTACGTTCTATTACTGCTCTCTCTTTCTCTCTCCTAATCAGTTTGTAACAGAATGTTTCATTCTTTGGGTGTGTTTCCAAGTCACTTTTGGATTCAACAATATATATATATTACT